AGTAATGGGATTGCTGGGTCAAATGGTATTTCTAATTCCAACTTTTTAAGGAATCACCATACTGCTTTCCACAGTGGTTGTATCATTTTACAGTCCTCCCAGCAGTGTATGAGCGTCCCTATCTCTCCACAGCTTCACCAGCATTTGTTATTTTCTGTTTTGTTGAACTTTGCTTTTAGTGCTGGGAAAAGCCCACACTCTTAACATTGCAACTAGACCTTCTGAGCCTTGGTTTACCATTCTGCAAAATGGGTTGCTTCCTTACACACACCCTAACCCATAGACAGCCATGCCTCAACTGTGAACTTTCACAGCTTTCCTGGTCTGAACTATGCAATCACACCCACAATCTCAGTTACCTTACAATATTGGCTGATGGTTTCAAGTTTAGAGGTATCATGTCTCCAATTAAGATGACAAACTCACAAGGCAGGACCACATCCTCAAAGCTTTTCACACCCTTCAATCTGCCAGCACAGATCTGGGCACCAAGTAAAAGTTGACTTGTCTCAGGGACTGGGTGGCTCTTGTGGAAAGGTTTAATGGGGGCAAGGTTGCCCAAAGACCTCAGCTAAGATCAGATGGAGTGAGGTAAGAAACTAATGATCTCCTAGCTCTTGCTTATAGGTAGGAGCCTTGGTGGGGCAGTAGTTAAGTGCTTGGCTGCTAACCTAAAGGCTGGCAGTTCAAAACCACCAGCCACTCCATAGGACAGAGATATGGCAGTCTGCTCCCATAAACATTACAGCCTTAGAAACCCAATAGAGAAGCTCTGCTGTGCCCAATAGGGTCACTATGAGTTGGAATTGACTCAAGAGCAGTGGGTTTTTGTTTGTAGTTTTCTCATATTTCTGTGCCTTTAGGGTGAATTTTAATTACTGGTAAGATCAAAGGGAATCAGTATGGTCTCCATACTCAGAAACCTATGCTGAAATGAGAACTCTGCTTGACCTGGAGATACCTACTGAAAGACACTCTCCTGTGGAGCTTGGACAAGCTGACCAAGATGGCCACCATGAGCCCTCTAGTAATGCACCCTTTCCCATGGAGTGCAGCCTTGGTGCAGCTATCAATTAAGGTGCCTCATCCTATCAGAATGCTTCAGTGAGTGGAGAGGGAGGGGTTAGGGAGCGAGAGATGGAATCAACAGACAGACAATAAAGGGGAGGAAAAAGCCGTGAGCAGAAAGGCAGCAAAGCCCTTTTATGCACATGTGGCCAGAGTGTCTCCAAGATGTCTAGACAGAAACATATCACCTTCAATGCTTGGACCCAACCTCATCTCACATGTTCTAGACCTGGACTATTTAAATTAAAATTAAATAAAATTAAAAATTTGATTCCTTATAGATTTTCAAATTCTCAGTAGAATCCAGACTTCAGGGAACCACTGAGGCTGCATGAGCCCCTAAAACTGTTGCCCTGAGATAATCTTTAAACTTTAAACCTTGAGTCAAAACCTAGTCATCTTGGCACCGAAACAATAGCTTATCTTAATGAGTAAGGTACGTCTGTTTTGAGCACTGTGTTCTTTTCGAGAATGATCAAGACAAGATCAAACTGACAATGGCAACTCAAAAGGTTAGATGGGAGGCTTAGGGGGCAGTGAGTTAAAGTTAATGGTCGTGGAACAATGTGGACAAGGAGGTAAGAATGGCACCCCAACTTGAAGAATGTAATCAATATCACTGAACTGTCCCTGTAGGAGCTGGTGACATAGTGTGCCTTTGGCAGCACATATTTTCATCAAATTTTTTAAAAAATGTTTTGATCATTCACTCACAGCAGTCACATTCTAAAGGTTCACATGGGGCTACTGGCTGCCACACTGACCTGTGGGTATAGAACATTTCCATCACTGCAGAAAGTTCTGTTGGACAGCGCTGGCTTAGAATGTTTGGAAAATCCAGCCCTGTCTCCTTCTTGCCACACCTGACCCAGCAGCCTCCCAAAGAACAGTCCCAGGGACACAGAAAATGACAGATTGACCCTGTCCCCAGCCCACAGAGAGAAGGCCTTGTCAGTCACCTGCCAAAGGAGACAGCTGGCAGCCCAGGTGAGCCTGGCAGGAAGGACGTACCTTTGCAGGCCCCCGCCGCACCCAGGTGGTAGACGGCTGCCAACACCCGCCAAATGGCTCGCTGCTCACTCTCTGAGATGTCCAGCACCTCCATGGCACCCTGGAGCTGGGCGAAGGCAGCTGCTGCTTGCTGCTTGTCTTCAGGCTGAGAGCAAAGGGAGAGAGGAAGAAAAAGGGACCAACACAGTTTAAAAAAAATGCCAACTGCAACTTGAAGCCAACTTAGTCTCGGGGGAATGTGTGGTCACTTTATTACCTCAGTAAATTACCTGCAATTCAGCTGAGGGGTGTTGACACATGCTGCTGGGAAAGTTATAAAAATCCTTGTGATCTGACTGTGGAATGCAGTGTGATTTTTCATTTGTTCAGTACAGATTTTGTGACACTCTGCTCTGTGCTGGGCTCTGGTCAGGGGATGCAAAGATGAACGAAATCCAGACCTTGACTTTAAGGCCTCTCAGAGTGGGAGTGGAGAAGGACATAAAAGCAACCAAGGGTGAAGCAGACTAAATGGTAGGACACAGGTATGGAGCATAAGAACGAGCCCTAGTGGCACAATGGTTAAACTCCTGGCTGCTAACCATCAGGTTGGTAGTTCGAACCCACACAATGGCTTCATGAGAGAAGGATCTGACAATCTGCTTTGGTAACGATGACAGCACAGAAAACCTTATGGGACGGTTCTACACTGCCACGTGGGTCATCATATGTTATATGTCAGAACTGACTCAACGGCACTCAACAATAACAACATGGGATCAGAGGAGGGAATCTCTAATTAACCCCACCCTAGAGATAAATCATGAGGAGCTCTGGTGGTATAGTGGATAAGGCATTTGGCTGCTAACCAGCAGGTCAATGTTTCAAACCCTCCAGCTGCTGTGTGGAAGGAAGATGGGGCAATCTATTTCCGTAAAGATTTACAGCCTCGGAAACCCACTGGAGGTCCCTATGAGTCAGAATTGACTCAATGTGGCAGTGAGTTTCTGGGGGTTTTTTGACAAATATATCATAGAATATTGAAGACACCATGGACTGCCAGAAGAACAAACAATTCTGTCTCAAAGGAAGTGCTTCCAGAATGCTTCTTAGAAGTAAGGATGGAGAAACTCACCTACTTTGGGCTTATGTCATTGGGGCCAACTAATTGCTAGAGAAAGACATTATGGTTGGGAAAGTGGAGGGTCAGCAAGAAAACATGGAGACCCTCAATGAAATGGATTGACATAGTGGCTTACATACAGTGTCAATTGTGAGGATGGATGGTGCAGGACTGGGCAATGTTTTTTTCCATTTACATGTAAGGCTGCTATGAGTCAGAGCAGACCCAATGGGAAGTAACAATAACAATAGAGAGTCAACAAAATTGTCAATGCTTTCATTCTACTTGGATCAACAATTAACACCCAAGGGAGCAGCAGTCAGGAAATCAAGCGACGTATTGCATTGGGCAAATCTGCCGCAAAAGATCTCTTGAAGGTGGTAAAAAGCAAAGACGTCACTTTGAGAACTGAGGTGCACCTGATCCAAGCCCATGGTATTTTCAATTGCCTCATATGCATGTGTAAGTTGGATAATACAAAATGAAGACAGAAGAAGAACTGATGAGTTCAAACTGTGGTTTTTGGGAAGAATACTGAATATACTGTGGACTGCCAAAAGAATGAACAAATCAGTCTTAGAAGAAATACAACCAAAATGTTCTTCAGAAGTGAGGATGGTGAGGTTTGGACTTACTTTGGAAACGTCATCAGGGAAGACAAAATGCTAGAAAAGAACATCATGTTTGAAATGGTACAATGAATCGATTCCACATGGCCTTTCTAGCCATGGTCATGTAATTCCCACAGAATGATTGGCTAGGCCACACTCTTGCAAGGATTGGTCAATTAATATGCAAATTGAGTGACTGTGGCCTACCAAGGGAATTGGTCAGTTCCTGGTCCTGGAGGGAGGGCTTTGCCTTGAAATTGACAAAGAGTAGGCTTATATAAGGACCAATCCCCCAGAGGTTTTGGGAGCCCTCACAAGAGTCTACAGTAGAGTGTGTCCCTTGAACCAAGGACCCAGGGTCCCTGCACTGAGAACCTCCTAGACACAGAGGAAAAAGTTATAATACTGAAGATGGCAGGATACAGTGCCAGGCCACAGAACAAGAGCTCTGTTGGAGCGCCTTTGGACAGAGCGAAATGAGCTATTAACACTTGTCTGTGCAGGCTGAGGCCTGAGTGTGCCCCAGGCAAGGGTGGCTTTGGAGAATCCTGCTGGGGGTTTTCCTACAGCAGGGGGCACCACTGAGCAGGAGGCTTGCCAGTAGAACAAAAGAAATGCTTGTGCAGAGCAGGAGAGACCCAGTGCAGGGGCCACACACTTCCCCTACCCTGGGCAGTGAGGGCCTGGGTAGTGTGGCAGCAAGAGAGCCCTAAGGGCCCGAGTAGCATGGTGGGAGCTGGCAGCAGAGGCCAGCCAGGCCCAGTGGCAGAGCAGAATCCTCAGAAGCCACGTAGCAACACCCCCAGCTATGTGATGATACCAGGAGGCATCACTGACATGAACGCAGCATCTGGCCTGAGCCACAGCATGCCTACCCAGTGACATAAGAAAGGATAATTTGGAGAAGGGAAGGTGTTTCCCCTTTGAGAATCTATTGTTACTGTTTACTGGTTGCTTTCTATAAATAATAATAATGGCTTTCACTTTGCCAACACTGTAAGTGCCTTGTGTGTCTGGCTCAATCACAGATGAACGTAGCATCCATGGAACGGTTGATGCCAGTGGGTGCATGTGTCTCATTCTTAGTCTTATGGAATCTTATGACTGCCTCAAAGGTTGAGGAACAGGCTGTCTGCATGTGAAATGTACATATATTTGGTAAATCAGAGGGCCAACAAAAATGAGGGAAACCCTCAATGCTGTGTATTGATTTAATGGCCACAACAATGGGCTGAAACACAGCAATGATCATGAAGGTGACGCAGGGCTAGGCACTCTCTCATTCTGTTGTAAACAAAGTTGCTGTGAGTAGGAGCTCACTTGATGGCAACTAACAAAAGAGAGTCAAAGATAATGTCATGGTAGAGGAGACAAAATTTTGATGAAATTTGAAAGCTAATGAGATGAGGTTGACCAATTTAATGTAATAAAGGTCCTGACAGGCAGGGAGAACAGCATGGGTAAATATGGGTCTTTGGAGATAACTGGTAGTCAACTGAATGTGGACACAGATGCACATTTTTTGGAGGTGGGACAGACAGAGAAAAGGAGGAGGAAAAGCAGGTGAGGTTGACAGACACCAGTTGTGAGAGTCTCAAACATGAGGGCTTGGGCTTTAACCTCAAGCCAAAAAACCAAGCCCGCTGCCATTGGATCAATTGCAACTCATGGCGACCCCACACACCACAGAGTAGAGCTGTGCTCCATAGAGTTTTCTTGGCTGTAATCTTTATGGAAGCAGATTGCCAGGCCTTTCTTCCTAGGCATTGCTGGGTGGATTCAAACAACCAATCTTTAGCTTAGTAGCTGAGAACAAACCATTTATGCCACCCAAGGACCTACACACAACCATGACTGGCAAATAAGGAAACACTCCCCCATCTACGTTCCTAGACCCATGGCAGACATCATTAATCAATAAGCAAGTCAGTGAATCCAGATTCCTTTCAGGACATCACCCTTTGCAGTCACCATCTATTGATCTGCCTTGCCAACTGAAATGGAATCTGTTTGTCATCCATGCTGCAGGCAATAAAAAGTTACCAAAGATTTTTAAGCAGGAGGAAAGAGAAAAAGACACATCAGATGTTAATGGGTTGTAGGTTGCTTTTTTTTTCTTTCAGATTTATGATCCCAATTATATTTGATTGAATATTAAAATTAGTCTGCAACTCCTGAGCACACACCATCTGGCCAAGGAGACACAGCCCAGAAGCCTTCTGGGTAGGGAGAAAGCAAGCCGGTGATGGGAATTCTTTTGTCAATAATCCACCGCAGATAACGAGGGAGTGATTTGCACTTGGCCTGCTGAGAGACTTGGGTGATGGACTGTAGGCTATTAAAGCTGGGAGGTTTTTCAGTTTTGCGAAATTCAATGTCCAGAGAAGGTCTCTAAGTGGTGTGAACGGTTTGCACTTGACTACTAATCTAAAGGATGGTGGTTCGAACCCAGCCAGTGGCTCCAGGAAAAAAAGCTCAGGCATCTGCTTCTGTTAAGATTGCATCCGTGACTAGCTCATTGAGTGGGAATGTATACCTTGGATGTTGTGTTCTCTTAAAAGATTATGTCTAGATGAGACCAAACTGATCACAGTCAATCTACAATCCAGCAGAGAAGACGAGAAACAGCAAGTCTAAGTTAAAAGTAGAGAAACAATGTGATTAGAAATAGTGAGCTTGTTGACACAGAGTGAAGAGTGTAACCATTGTCATAGACATGTACTTGGGGAAATTGTTAAATTAGCACATGTTTTGCTCTGTATATTTTCACCAAAAATAAAATAAATGTTTTTTTTTTTTTAAAAAAAAAGTACAGCTAAGATAACCCTATGGAGCAGTTCTACTCTGTGACACATGGGGTCTTCATGAATCTGAATTGAGCCTGATTTGGTAACTAACAGTGAGTCTGAATTGATTCAAGGGTAGCTAACAACAATAAGTAGACATGCCTGAGGAGTTCTCTGCTCACATCTCCACCAGCCTTGACAACAGCAGTGTCCAGAGAGGGGACCACACTTGCCCAAGGTCACCGAGCAAATGAATGTCAGATACAAGATGTTCTGACAGCCAGTCCAAGCCATGTGCCTCTGTCACCTCCATTCAAGCCACCTCTTCTAACTGGAGAAACTCACAAGGATCACTGACCAATTGGGATGACATTGGGACGTGCCGTGACATTGAGAGATTCGCGGTGGAAACCTTTCAATTAATAGCAAAAGCATGTTTCACTGATTTGTCATCTTTCTGGGCCACCACAGGACCACAAAATCCCTAGCAACCAGGAACTCAACCTAGCAACTGCAACTGCTCCACCAGAGCAAACAGGGGAAGGCAGGCATCTTACCAACATGCTCTCGGTTATTTATGAGATTTCAAAGTAGCAGAGAAAGAACAATGAAAGGACAGTGGCAACACATTTATTATGGGCCCTAC